ACCTTGATGCTAATGAATTCTTCAGCTGCCTTCGTGAGGAACTCGTTAATGTTTTCTCTGGAAAAAACGCTCGACTTTTTCGGCTGAAAGCCCAGATTTTGCCGCTTCAAAAAAGCTATAAGTTTTGCGTAATTGGAGATATCAACTTTCTCTTTCAATTTAATCATGGTTTTCAACATACTGTAAGTCGACCATAAAGTCGAAGGCTTCTTTTCCTTAGATAATTCGCCAAAATACGCCAACAAAACGGTCTCCGAGGCAGTATTTCTCGTTCCTTTCTGGCTACACCATGCTTCGAATATTTGAAAAGCCTTTTCGTACCGAAATTTGCTTTTTGCTGGAAGCAAACTCTCTCCAATCCTGTCTGCTGCTTCTTTTAATTCAGGTGGGGTACAATCCATCGCTTCATCTTCACTTTCCGAAATCATTTCTTTGGGGAGAACGGGGAGAAATCTAGTGAAAATCTATTATTTCCGCAAAAATACTGAGCGAAAACTACCGTCGTTAAGGCGTTGTTGATCTTATCTATGGTTGTTGATTTTGCGGTTTCCTGTGGTTTCGTCTTTTGTTTTGGCCTTTACAGGGCCTTTGAGATCGTCAAAATTGATGACATTGACAAAAAAAGTGAAATATTTTTTTCTAAGGCCAGTTTTACACTATATGAAAATTTCGTATAACAGAATCTTTAGTTTTTGCATCAGAAAATTAAGGGTTGAAAATAAAAAAGTATACAAACCTCGACGGAAAACTTCATTTCTGTCTCGAGGTTGAGTTTATCTCGACGCTTCGCGTCTCGATAAACTATAATAACCTCTCGACCAGCAATGAAGTATTTTCCGTCTCGGATTGTAAAATACTATTACCAGAGTCCATTTAGGACTAAATACGTAGGAAGTGTTCTCTGTTTACAAACCCTTTACCACTACTTTATAAATAATGCAATAATAAAATGGAATTTCTGCGGGATCAGAATAAAAGACATAATAGCTTCCAAACAGATTTATAACAAAATATATATCAACTAAAGAAAAATCACATCAAACTCTATAACAAATGAACATTAACTATCTTACTTCCATATGCTCCTAAATACGGTCTGCATTCATCGGATATTGTGAAAACTGGATTAACAAAATCGAAAACTAATCAGAAAAAATATTATAATAAAAATTGTTGCGATTTAAAATTGTTCATTATCGTTATCATCATATCATGCCACAATAGTATATTGTGTATTTAGGTGGAAAAGTGACACATTCTCGGCCGACGGTGTAAGTTGACGGGCGAGGCGAAGCCGAGGCCGGCAAACACCGAAGGCCGAGAATGTGCTTTTCCACCGAAATACACATACTATTTTTTCAGCGATCGGTTCAATACCTGTTAAATGTTTGTCTTTTAGTTCCAATTATTCAGCAGTACGAGAATCACTTTCCCGGCCTAGGCCCGAAAAGTGTTTCCCGTATTGTTATTCATTGATTCCTTAGCAACTATTGAAACATAATTGAAATACCAGAATATTGAGTTTTGCGACCTGTCAACCGGTCAAAAATGCTGACATTTCTTGTCAATCGCAGAAAAAATATTATTTTCAATGGTAAAATTGTATACATTCGAAAGAAAATTTGGGAAAATTTTCCTAGCGCAAAAAGAACAGGATGAAAACTTGATTGATATTTTATGGAGACATGTATATGAAGCATGTATCAAAATATGAATCTTGAACAAGGAGTAGAACTTATAGAAAAAATAATTCAAAATGTACCCAAAATTCACAAAATAACGGGTCAATTTTGTGCACATCTGTGAGCAAATCTATAACTTTCTATAAGCCTATAGACTCTGCAAAACGCATTAATTTTCAAACACCCGATCGGAAATATTCACGATTCTATAAGATTTTCTGAAAGCTACAGGATGTGCAGAATTGGAAATTGTCCAGAGGCAGCTATAGGCTTATAGAAATTTATAGATTTGCTTACAGATGTGCACAGAATTGACCCGTAAGTTCTAGGTTGTAAATATGTATACCGGGTGGGGCACGAAAAACTTTCCACCCAGGTTTTCTCAGGTGTTAGGTGTGTCAGACACGTCAATTTTTGTTTTTTGGGGGACACATTTTATTGGTATTTTCACCCCCTACCTGTGAACCCCTAAGTGGGGGTGACAGGTACCCACAAAATTTCAAATGAAAGGGGGGTCGAGTGATACGTCATTTGATAGCTATTTTCATTGAGATTATATCCCCGAAGTTTCAAGTTGCTACTATTTACCCTATCGAAGTGGCGGATTGTCAAAGTTAGGAGAAATCAATGGAAAAATGCTGTGTGGTTTTTACCTGTTACCTACGCATAGGTGTGACAGATAAAAACTATACAGCTTAGATTATCGAATGTTATACCACAAGAGGTTTCAGGATTACCGGATAATACTTTTACCTGTCACGAAACGCGTTACGCAGCAACACCACGACTCCGAAGGAGGAGTGGTGTTGCTGGTAACGCGTTGATGTGACAGGGTAAAAGTATTAGGTAATCCTGAAAACTCGAGTGGTATTCAAAAGGTTATACAACGAACTAAACTTTAATTCTTTATTAATTAATAATTTCATGAATCAAAAATTTTATTTTTTTTGTCAAAAAATGTCAAAACACACCAGTTACCGTGCAAAAGGATTATCACTTATTAAGCCTCTCGTGTCATATGGGAAGGATTATCACTTTTTAATCCTCTCGTGTCATATGGGAATAATGTACAGTGAGTTGTATAATCGAAAAAAAGCATTTATCCTAACTTTAACATGCCGCCATTTCGGCAGGGTTAATAGTAGCAACTTAAAACTTCGGAGATATAATTTCAATGAAAATAGCTACTAAATGACATATCACTCGACCCCTCTTTCCATTTGAAATTTTGGGGGTACCTGTTACCCCCACTTAGGGGTTCACAGGTAGGGGGTGAAAATACCAATAAAATGTGTCCCACAAAAAACAAAAATTGACGTGTCTGAGCGATTTTTGATTAAACACCTAACACCTGAGAAAACCTGGGTGGAAAGTTTTTCGTGCCCCACCCGGTATATCCTGTTCACAATCCGATGTCCACAGGTGTAGGTAAATTTATCACCTTTCCCTATAAAATAGCATTGAAAGGTGATTTTACCTGTACCTACCTGTGGATATCGGATTGTGAACAGATAATAGTTTTTTACTAAATAACTGAGTACAGCATTAGAAATTTGAATTTATATCTATTCAGTATACATATATAGATAATAATTACCTATTTGATTCATCAAAATCCCTTCCGGAGAGCAAGGACGTACCTATATAAGGGGGGGTTTTGCGGGTTCAGAACACCCTCCCTCCCCACCCATTGAACTGAATAAATTATTTTTATAATCGTTTTTAGGCGTGGAACTCGAAAAAAATGTTTCGCCTTCGGTATCCTGCGGCGGCTATGCCAGGTTACCTATACATCGTCCGGTCTAAAATTGAAACACTTTCCAGCATAGACCACGAGCCGCCACTGCTCTAAACCCCCCCCCCCCATGTAAAAGCTATCGCTACGTCGTTGTTCTCGAGTCCCACTGGTATATACCGGGTGTTTTTCAAAACCCGCTCACCCCAATAACTTTTTTATTTTTCCAAATAAACAAACGAAATTTGGTGTGTTCATTTATGACCCGAATGTGCATTATTTGACGTATTCAATTCTTTATTATCACTTCCGGTTTGACCGGAAGTGACCGTAACTTTCTTATTTCAAATGAGACACCAGGTATATTTTCCCTTATTTCAATAGAAAACTACATTACGAGTACAATGACACTTCATTTGTCACTTTTCGAAATTTCATCTCCAAATTATTTAAATGTTTACTTTTTAATCTAGAGTGCCATGAATTAGTTAAAATGTTTAATTCCAAGGAACCTGGGAAAATTTGTTTTGATCTCATTTTGTATTTTATATCCTCAACAGACTCATTTAAAGATAGTAGAAGCGCATTTTTGGAATTGTATGAATTTTTTCAAATGGAAAGAGTATGGCTCATTAGCATATTCCGAGAGAGCATTTTCTAATGAACAATTTAGTACCACACAATCGCTGGTTTATTCAAATATTGAACAAACATTTTTCAAAAATATTTAGAATGCTAGGAAAATTCTTCATTTGAGTGATGAACTAGCGATTGTGTGGTACTGAATTGCTCGTTAGAAAACGCTATTTTGGAATATTGTAATGAGCCACACCCTTCCATTTGAAAAAATTGGGATAATTACAAAAATGCACTTCTACTATTTTTTAATGAGTCTGAAGAGGATATAAAATACATAATACATAAGATCAAAACACATTTTCCCAGGTTCCTTGGAGCAAAACTAAGCATTTTAACTAATTCATGGCGCTCTAGATTAAAAAGTCAAAATTTAAATAATTTGAAGATGAAATGTCAAAAAGTGACAAATGAGGTGCCATTATACTCGTAATGTAGTTTTCTAATGAAATGAGGAAAAATATACCTGGCGTCTCATTTAAAATAAGAAAGTTCTGGTCTGATAATAGATAATTGAATACGTCAAATAATGCACATCCGGGTCATAAATAAACAGACCAAATTTCAATTGTTTATTTGGAAAAATAAAAAAGTTATAGGGGTGAGCGGGTTTTGAAAAACACCCGGTATATGGTCACGGTGTACCACTTTTAAAAATATGACCGCATCCAGAAAAATCTTGTAATAAGCCAACGTCAACGTATATTGAATGACGATGTTTTTAAAATATATTAAAACCAGATTTTAAGGTTAAGATAAGGAATAAACAAGGTGGTACTAAGTTTACACCAGAGAACGTTAAAGGGTTAACGAGACTGTTTATTGACAACAGTATAAAATTTATCTGCTTGGTAAAATAAAATTTCGTATTTTATCTTTTTTTATATATACCTATATATTTTTGTATACCTACTTTGTAACCATCAGATTTGACATTGTTGACACTTTTTATCATCAACTGAATATGTGGGTATATTTGAACAGACAACCCTAACTAGAAACAAGAAGTACCTAAGTGTGAGATTTTGTAGATTTAAAATATCCTGATATTGTCCGAAGAAGGAAGTCAATGTGTCGCTACAACTGCAAATAAAAATAAATTAAATTTAGAACAATATGGAATTTGGAATTTATCTCCAACAATGAAAAATTTAGATCTCCCTGATTTTTTTCGGATTAGCTTTTTTCGGCAATAAGTAGAGGACTAGTTGGCATTACGATGATAGGATCGTTTAGGTTTTCTATAGTGCTTACACCTACCTACCTGAAATGATAATTATTAATAAAATCGTCAAAACAACTCCAATAATAATCATCGTTTTAACATTCTTCCACCAATATTTTCGCCTGGTAGTCACAGCGATAGTTCTAAAGGAAGTTGAATTTCCTTGTAAGTTTTGCATACGACTGTTGAGGTCAGAAATGTTAGCTCCTCTTTTCGTCATTTTGTCCACATTGTTTTTTAATATTTGCGTGACGGCTTCTACTTCGCGTTTGTTTTTTTCTAGTAGGTATTGTTGTTCGGAAGCTGTGGGATGATCCATCACATCTAGTTTTTTGAATACCAAATAGTTATAATTAATGTGATTTCACATTTTAACTTGTTTTGAATAAAAATAACACAGCAATAATGTAAGCAATTACGAATTGAAGGCGCTGAGCAATATACGGCTCTAATGTTTCAATAGGTGTTGATACAAATAATAACCTTACCTGTGCTTGAAGATCTTCAAATCTTTGTAGACGAGACAATTTATTACAAAAAATTTTAAGTGGTATTTTGATATCTATGGTGTTCGGCTGCTTTATTCAAAAAAAAAATTAGATTGACTAATTTTGTTCAAATTGTGGTTATGCATGCTACTGTGGTGATGATAAATGTTAATTTGAATAATTAGTATACCTTATATGCATGCTGTCTTGATGTTAGAAAGGGTTCGTTTATTTTTTGAAATAAAATTTTGTAAAAAATACAAAGACAAATTTAAGACGTAAAATATCCAGGGTTGGTTAATCCGCAGAAAATTTGTGCATATGCCCCCTCATTAAAAAATTCCTGCACATCCCCAAAGTTTAAAAGGTCAACCTTACCTTTTAATGAAACACCCTGTATGCATGTTTCAAATGTTACCTAATTCTTTGGGTTGAAAATGAAAGTAAATCCTAAGTACCAATATGATTCAATTTATTTATTTAAATAAAACAATTTGGCCCCTAATATTTCTCAACTGTCCTGTAAAGCCACTGAGAATACTACCTTAGTCATATTCTGATAGAATAAATTATGCAAAAATATCATAATTACCAATGGTAATTATCAGCAAAACCATGGCAAAAACACCCATGACAACCCATAAAACGATATAATTTCTTCGAAAACTTCTTTGGTCACCACATGACGATTTATTTCACTATCAGAAATTATATCTTCATGGTGTTCAGAAATAGTGGAGTCATCGAGTGGAATTTCTTTTACTTTTTGGATTAGTGGTTTCTGGCAATCTGATGACTGAGACATGTTGGCTATCTTTTTCTTCTGCCAAATAGTTACCTATAAATACTCACCACCTAAAATAAATTGTCCCCCAGAACTTAACATACTACTTTCTTACTTATTGGATATGAGAGCACATTAGAAAATAGTCTTTTTTTAGTTTGAACGAAAATAAAAATGGACGCGTGGTTTTTGTGGTTGACGACATTAATATTCTATGTCTATGAGAATAACTATTTATAAATAAACTAGCTGAACCAGCGAACTTCGTACCGCCTATGAATTATTAAATACCTATTAAATGTTGTGTTAACGCTTCAACCAAGGCCAAATTCACCATTGAAAAAAACTGAATTTAATTCATCTACTAGATACGTTATTAACGTATCTCGTAGATGAATTAAATTCAGTTTTTTTCAATGGTGAATTTGGCCTTGGTTGAAGAAAACTAATGTTCACTCTCTGGATCAGAAATCACCTGAAATTAAAATTTTACATCATTTGGCTATTGATTTCAAATAGGGTGCCTCGCTTGGATCATAATCGCTCTCGGAGCACTTCCGCAGAGATCTGTGATATCACCGCCCAAATAGAGAGCGCTCTGGGAGCAGTAAAGCCGAAAATGCTATAAGATAATACTGTTACGTCGGTTGAATGGAATAAACAAAAATAAGTTGAGTTATGTAGTGGTGAGAAGCAAGAAAAAATTGAAAAAAATTGGGGTGGACCACCCTTATCACTTAGGGGTATAAAAAATAGCTTAAAACCTATTCTTAGACCTAGAACATAAATATAAAATTTCATAAAAATCGGTAAAGCCGTTTCAGAGGACGAAGGTAACTGAAACTGTGACATGAGAATTTTATATATTAGATATGAATTTATTTGATAAATCTAATTACCCCTAGTAATTACGTACCTATAAAATATTTTGCTGTGAAAAGATTTGGAATATTTTTTATTATTTTCCTGATTCAAACAAACAGAAAAACATATTTTAAAAATTGGGCTCTAATATTTTAGTGAAATCAAAATTTTATGACCAAAATTATCATTAGCATTAATCAAGCCAATGCAATGCTGAATATTAATTTAACTTCCTTGATAATTTTTTCGAGTATAACTATGTATTTCGATTTGGGTAACCAATAAATATGGAATTTTCGCATACAAAATTTTGTCGGTTGACATCTTTATTTACTAGGTAAAGGAACAACTCTTGAAATTACATAGTGAAATACCAAGTGTTTCCTAAATGAAATACAAGCAAAATAGATTTCAACAAGAAATATATATTCTAGATAATAATAATTGTAATGTAACATCTAATCCATTAAAAATATTTCAATATTCTCCCACTGGGTCCATATAACTGAAAATAAAATAAAAAAATCAATTAGAAAATATTTATAGTTATTAATGATATAAGTTCGATATGAACGCCATAATGAAACGCGTGTAACGTTAAACCACGAGGCGTTAGCCGAGTGGTTTAGTTACACAAGTTTCATTAATAAAGTTCATATCGAACGTGTATCATTCAAAATTTAATCTACAATGGTTCAAATAGATTTGATTTGCCTTGAAATAGCAAAAACTTTTCAAATTAAAATTTGAAATTTAGCAGGTGCCCGTACAAGTCGAGAACCTGCTTGTTGGTTTTTAGAATTTTGACTTTGGCAGCTTCAATATTGGAGTCCATTTTTGTGCCATAAATTCAATTTTATGGTGGAAAATAATATTATTATTGGTGAATCTGAGTTCGAAAGTGTCTTTTCGAATATAGAGACAGCATTATTGAAAAGGTTCTTCTGGCAACTAACTTTCTTTTTGTATATTTTTCATTTCAAAATTTGGGTGTTATTATGAATTCTTAAACGCACTAGTGCTATTATGAAGGACCTAATGACATTCAAATGACAATGCTAAATGTTTCATAATGACACCGACGTAGATTAAATCAATAATGCCATTTTATTTCCAATTTCGCACACCTTATTTCGCTTGTTTGTTATTTTTTCGAGTGATGAGACATTTTAATCAAGCAAAATGTGTCTAAATGGTAATGACATTTTTGTTAAGGGATATTGAGTTATCTGGATGTGAGATGAAATGTAAAATATTACTATTTATTAACATAAACACTAGTCATTATACAGTCATGCAACTGATCTGATAAAATATTGCAATGTGAATCTACAGTGTGTCCCGCTTTTCATGAATACGTACCCCGATATCTCAGTTTTTATTATAGCGATTTTATTCAAATTTTGGTGGTGATTATATGGTAAATAGAAATGTTTCCCATGTCAAATGTGTAGTTCATTTTTCTAACATACAATCACCACCAAAATTTAAATTAAATCGTATTATTAATAACTATGAGATATCATGGTGTCATCATAAAAAGCGGGACACACTGTATATTCAGAATAAATTATTCCACTATTGTACTTGATTTGTTTAAATAACTTACGAATTATAATCGTCAATAAAACCACCCCAACAGTCACCAATATTATTCTCATTTTCATATTCTTCCCCCACATTTTTTTGTCCAACCTTTTACCAGTTTTTTCAAACATTTCAGATTCTTCTAGATGCTCTGTTGGTGCATCCATTTGTTGCAGATTTACCTTCACCATTTCAGTTTCTTCGTCGACTTGCTGCTGACTTTGTTGCAGTTTGGTAGAAAGTTTAGATCTAGATTTCAACCATTGCCACCATTGCGAAGACGTTTGAGGCGCATTCTCCTTTATTCTAATCATTTCCAGAAAATAAAACACAAGCTGATAGTAACAATAATATAGTATATTTTTTTAAATCTGGAGACACGTAGGTAGGCTACTGAGCCACAAACAACGTTAAAAAAATACAAATGTATATCTCCTGGAATACTTATCTTGGTTTTGAGAATATTTTCACTATGGCCACTTAGAAATTCAACTGAGTGGTTTTAGGTTTTTTAGATTTTATATATTTAGTCAGTGTTTTATTTAATTATTTCACATACCTAAGCGATGACTCACCAATGGATTTTTGACAAAAAATCTTCATTTATTATTGCAATACGATTTTACCAAAATTAAGATGGGAATGAATCTTCAGGCGGGTGACATCCAGCTGTTTTGAATTCCACACCGGCGCTCACTCGATCAGCTCATGAACTCTGAGAGGACAAGAGTCCGTTATTTAACTATCAACCAAAAACTCTTAGTTCCACAACAACAAAAAGACCAAGGAAAAAAAAAAACACAAAAACCTTGACCGGCTTCAAGAAAGTTTTAAATTTCTGCGAGAATAGATGCAAACCGTAGTGTCTGCAGAAGAATTCATACTCGAGAAAATTCTGGAAGCACAAGATGATAAATTCAAGACTGCAATAAAAGGAGTAGGTATGTGAAAAAGTAGGTGAATGTTCGTCACAAGGCTTGTCAGGAAATTGGAACCATCCGCTAAAGATACCAAGCATATACGCGTTAGGAGGCACCAGCGGACGATTTTTCCACCGACATAGAGGCAGCAGACGATTGTTTTCGTTAACTTCACTATAAATATAAGCACCTATCAAAATTTCATGCTTCAGGAAATCGTTTCCGACAATCTATTCATAAAAAAACATGCGTGTAAAACTAGCTAGGTTGAATCATAATTTATAATTCTATTGAAATTCCAATAAATTATTGTTTCTACCGTGTAAATATTATATTAAGTCACTAGTATTCTATAAATTTATTTAATTCGAGATCTCCATGAGAAATTAAATACAAATATTACAAGTGTCGCACTAAGTGGGCACCCCCCGGACGATATCTCCTTACAGGGTGATGCAAGAAAAAAAAATTAAATTAAGTTAAATTAAAATAAGTTAAAAATAATTTTGAATATACGGGGTGCTCCGTGAATGGGGTATGCGACAGAATTTTGTTATTTTAAATGGAACACCCTATATTTTATTACATTAATGGATAGTTCTAAAAATCCTACATATTTTTTTTAGGAATCACCTATAGTCATAGTCATAGTCAATCATACTTTATTATCCAAGAAAAAAACATTCTATTGACAAAGCATTAACTTAAAAGTAAAACAGAAAAAAATAAAATAAATCACCAATTGTAAAATGCAAATACAAACAAGTTAAAAAAAAAATTACAAATAGTACGGCGATCCAAGCAATATTACATATACTTAAAACTATCTAAAATAATAAAATGTGAATAAAAGCGTTGATTGATAAAAGACAAGAGTACTTAAAAACAAAAAAGGTACAGTCATACAGTGTCACTATAGTAGTCCTCCAAGCTGTAGTAAGCCTTTTGCAACAAAACATCCTTAACACTGCTACGGAATAGTTTGTAGTTTCTAATCGTTTTAAGTTCATTACTTAGATGGTTGAAATTTTTTTTGCACTCATAGAATATTGAGTGTTTTGCTAAAGCAGACTTTGGTATAGGTAAGCCTATATTAGTGTTCGAACTTACTCTAGTGTTGTACCCAATATCCCGAGTTACCAAACCTGAATATTTCTTGTGCACAAGACACACAGTTTCTAAAACGAACAAACATGGTACAGTTAAAAAAAAATCCCTAATAAATAGCGGTTGACAATGTTCACGACCTGCAACTTTACACAAATAACGAATTGCCCTCTTTTGCAAAACAAATATCGAGTTAAACTGTTGCCTGTTAGTAAATCCCCAAAAAGCTATACCATATCTCACAAGAGATTCAAATAGTGAGTGATAAACCATTTTTGTGGTAGAACAACTAAGCTCGTTGGAAACTATTCTGATTGCAAAGCAACCAGCAGACAACCTTTTACTTAGTGCCCTTATATGGTCCTCAAATTTAAGTTTATTGTCTATGATGAGACCCAAAAATTTTGTTAGGGGCTTATTTTCTACAATTTCATCATTCAAATACAAATCATTGTAGCAAAACCCAATGGTGATCATGCTGGTTTTATTTACATTAATACACAGCAAGTTTGCATCACACCAAAGCTTAACTTCACGCAGGTCCCTATCAACAGTTAATTTGAGGTCATCTCTGTTTTTACCATGTCAAAGAAGACTAGTATCATCCGCAAAAAATGTAAACGAACCCTGAATCTTTAAAGCTGCTAAGTCATTCAAATATAACAAAAATAAAATGGGTCCGAGAACAGAGCCTTGTGGAACGCCTCTTGTAGTGAATGATCCAGAAGAGTATTCGCCATTCGCTGTTACCACCTGCATTCTTCCCTTAAGATAGGCAGAAAACCATTTCATTGTAAGCTCCTCAAACCCATAGTGTCTCAGCTTCCGCAGCAACACTCCATGATCTACACAATCGAATGCTTTCGAAAAATCACAGAATATTGCTGCAACAGCATCGCCACAATTTATATTTTGATAAACCTGATGGAGCAAGGAGGAAATGGCATCATCTGTATTTTTACCCGAGCGAAAACCAAACTGGACAGGATTTAATATTTTGTTATTTTCCAAAAAGATCATCAATCTCTTCTTCACTATTTTCTCAATGACCTTCGAAAGCGTAGATAAAAGGGAAATAGGACGAAAGTTGAAAGGATCACTCATATCACCCCCCTTTAAACAACGGAACTACAACAGCATTCTTTTAACATGTTGGAAATTCGCCCACCGCAAATGACCGATTAATGGAACATGCAAGTGCATGCAATGCAGACTCAGGCAAGCACTCCAATATTCTTACTGAGATTCCATCGTAACCTGCCAAATGCTTGTTTAATATTTCTTTGAAAATCATCCTCACTTCTTCCACATTTGTGCTTTCTAAAATAAAAATTTCAGGAACATAGATATTGACCAAATAATCTATGGGATCCTTCTTGGAATTTAAATTTGAAATTAATTGGTCGCCTACTGTGCAGTAAAAATTATTAAGAATACTTAGATCAATTTCAATATTATCTTGCAATGAATTGGCCTTAACCCTCAATTAATACTAAACTCAACTGTTTTTGAATTATTTAACAAGTTTTCAAAAAAATCGCAGTTTGCATGTGCCAATAAAAACCAATATACTTATTTCATTCATTTGAAATCCTATAAGCTAAATCTTTTGCAGGTTGTTAGTGCATAGGTACTTACATTTACTTCATGGTCCTATGAAAATCTGATCATTCTACAGGGTGTTCGCAATACTGTTCACAAAACCAGACGTTTCACGGCCATTTGCACCGCTATAACTTAAGGGATATTTAATCCAAGTGGAGCTTTGAATGTGACTCTCGTAGAAACAAAAGTCACATTCAAAAACTCCACTTAAATCAAATATCCCTTAATATCTCTTAAGTGATAGCGGTGCAAATGGCCATCAAACATCCATAGCTCATTTTTTTCTAGATGATGGAATGCCCTTTATTTTTTTGTCTCAACATTTTTATCAAGCAATAAGCTTCCTTTTCTATAAAGTATGTTCTATACTCAACTATGTGATAATTATCTAGTTTCATGAACTTTTTTCTAATTTCTTCTTTATAATCCAGAATAGTCATTATGTCAATTAGAAAAATTGTTGCCATGGAAATAATAATTGAATAAAAATCAATTGACGCGTGACTATTGTGAATTTCAAGGAAGAAAATAGAAAAAAGTTTAAGAAGCTCGATAATTATCACAGTTAAGTATAGGTATATTTTATAAAATAGGAAGATTATTGCTTGGTAAAAAAATTAAAACAAGAAAATAAAGGGCATTCAAAAAGGATGAAATGTTTGAAATGCCTGGTTTTGTGTACAGGGTGGTTGATTTTCGATAGTTTTATAGGGTACAGCTAAAATGGCCGAAGCTACTGAGAAACTGATATATACGTCCCGTCCTCTTCTTTAGTGTGTCACTTGATGGTGTAGTCAGATCTTGGCCAACAAGTTTGGTTTGCGAGGTACAGGGTGTTATTCAAAATCAGCTGTTTTTTATAATCCTCTATAACTCCTTACCCTAGGGAGATATAGAAAAAGTGCAAATGGGGAAAATATGTTTTTTTTTACGTAGAATCCAGTGGCGTACTTTAAAAAATATGGGGGCTTTATCTTCTGAGATAATCGAAAAAACAAAGATTTTTCAAATGGAACACCCTGTATCTTATTGGTTCAGCTGTTTGGGAAAATAATTGCGAGTTCAACGATAAAACATAAACACATAATATTTTGTTTTTAATCATATATGTAATATTGATATTACAGTCTGTTTAAAAATTTGAAAATGTCACTTTACTGTCTTTTCATTTCCCTGCTCCACTTCCCGTCCTCATTTCCCGTCCTGACTTCCCGTCCCCATTTTATTAAATTTATGTGGCAGGTATTGTCAAGTTTCTTTCAAAATTGATGACAATGACATAAAATTCAAGCAAATAGCATGACGCTACATTCACATTTCATTTCATTTCTAATTTAAATTGGCAAAAATTATGCTTAAAAATAAAATAGTATACTATGCTCGACAGGAAATTTAATTACTGTCTCGAGATATAGTTTATCTCGACGCTACGCGTCTCGATAAACTATACAATCTCTCGACAGTAATAGCTGATTTCCCTACTTTACGCACTAGTGCGTCAAGTATTTTCAATTTACGCACTAGTGCGTGAAGGAATTTACAAGAAAAAATACTAGATTGACTTGACAGTGTCGATATCTGTCATTGACATTACTTTTACTGGTGTTATGTGAATTACTTTACGCACTAGTGCGTGAAGTGAAATTTTACATATTTTGGATAGTGCGTAAAGTGGGTAATTT